TTAAAACACTAACAAGAGCTTGCCAGTTGTAATCCAGAGCTGTAACTGAATTCCCCAAAGACAACCACCGAGTTGTTGATAACTTTATGAATTTCCTTGATTTTTGTTCAAGGATATCTTGAACATTCTTCAATCGCCTGGTATTTGCAGGGGAGCATTCAAAATAAGAATGAATTCTTCAGACTACTGATTATATACCTATAAACCAGTAGTCTGATGTAGCACGCTATAAGTAGTTGTACAAAACTAAAATTAGTCGTTACTTTTTCTTTGTGCTGCTTTTTGAATGAAGCAGTGTAGTGAGCCAGAATTGTGGCGACATTGTTACAGAACATTGCTGAGTTCTTGCAGAAGTATTTTTCCTTTGGGGAATAAAAAGTTTTGCTTTTCTTTTCTGCCGAAATTTTCAAGTGATTTTATCTTTTCTTCAGAATTATATTCAAAATAAGCCTTTCTCGCATTTCGGAGTGGGGGAAAAAATACTTGTGATATTTCTATTCTAATTGGAGAATAATGAAAGATAAAGAATGATGAAGTAAAAATTTTGATTTTCTTTTCTTTGGAAATGTTCATTCCAATTTTTCATGCAGTTATTACTATTGATTTCCACATAGTTTTTAAAATCCGTCCCAACAACTAAATCTCAAAATGAAAACACGCGTTTAGTAACCCCTTTTTGAAGAGTCTGATTCGCAGGATTTCGTCGTCTATCTTTTTTATCGGCAGTTACTGCTACGGATTTTATTTTTTTAATGCGATTATGAATTATAAAGTGCGAAAAAGGAAATATTAGTGTGTTATCTTTCTACAAAGGGCTAGAATATCGCTTATAATATTAGAATGAGAAAAATCGCATATTCAATTAAAAAAATTATTTTATTTGCTCCAATTTTCATATCTATATTTAATTAATTTAACTTTTTTGAAGTTACAGTTATTTTTTTTTGAAGTCTGTACATTTGTTATTGTTAAATATCTTGTATATTTGTTGTTGTTAAATATCTATATGATATTGTTAAATATCATATTAGTATTAAAGAGGTATGTCTCAGAAAGCCTGAAAAAAATTCTGCCACACCGGATAGTACTAACGTAACTTATGTTATTTAAACTGTGTACCCTAATTTGGTTCATTTTGACCGCTGGCTAATTTAATCTTGATACTTAATTATGCTTGGTTTCACTTGAATGATTTTACAAGAATTATCTCGCTTTTTTTTTAAAGTATAACAATGTGTCAGATTTTCATTATCTTTAAGAAGAAGAAACATATCAAAAGTGCTTGATACTAAAAGTACCTATTTATTCTTTAATATCTGAAACTAATGCTTGTTTTTAAATAACTTAATTTTAATTAACATAAATTATTCAGAAATATTTTCAATTTTCAGTATGATGAAGATGTAGGATGCAAAACGAAATGTTTTTTAGAATGATTCAACTAAAATTCCACCACCTTTTCATAGCCATAAGATTGTTTCTGAGTCTTTTCTTTCTAAAAGGTAAATTTTCATTTCTAATCTAAGCATAGAAAACCTGTGCTCAGAACTCTCTCTTATACCGATTATTTACTATACATTTTTATTTACATTTTTATCATTCAATTTGCAACATAGATTTAAACAACAGTAATTATAAGAACTAGTTGGATTCTTGATAAATATGAGAACTAAATTATTTTCTTTTCCAAGTTTTTAATTCTGTGATAAATTTTTTCTTCTAATATTACAGAATTAGAACTTGTTTTGTATACTACATAATTAATGTGAAATATACATTACCTGCTGTAAATATTTTTAGTAATTCATATAAATATTTATAAAATCAGATCAATTAACTAGAAATGCTGTTAAGCATATTATTTGTTTTAGTGTTTTAAATATTATTTTTTTTTAATTTTAAAATTTTTTTNTTAACTGATGCTAATTCATTTTACTTTATATTAAAGATTAATTCAATACTTTATTTTATCTAACTGTAAAATTTATTTAATGCATTCAATAAATTATTTATTAAGATGCAGTGAAGTTAATAAGTATAACTTTTGTCCGTTAAAAAAACTTTCAATGTATCTTTATTAATTATTTCTTGATATAATTCAGTTCAAATAATAGTTTTTTTTTAAGAAAAGAAAATAATCCAATATTTTTCTTCTAAAAAATATTTTTTTTTTATTGTTTATATCTGTATGTCTTAAAAGTTTGTTTTTATTCTGTTCATAAAGTTAGTTGTGTTATGATAAAAAGAAATTTAAAATACTTTTCACAGTATTTTTATTAATTTTTCATTGTACTAATATTTTTAAACATGGTCATATTTTTTTCATTGTATTTCAAATTTAAAAAAAATCTATATTTCAAATCATCAGTTCCCAAAAAGTGAGATTTGACTGCAACTATACAATTCATGTCCCAGATGAGTATGGGTCTCAGAACCTTTAGTAATCTTTCTTTTTTCAATTTTTGTAATAAACAGCAAAACTGGTTTGATTACAGGAGGAATCTGAAAGGAGTTGAAAGATGATTGTTTAAAGGAAACCTGCAAATTTCAGCCTCAAATTAGACCTGTTATGGTGTTTATTATTCGCACCTTCCTTTGTGTAGTTTCTCAGATTTGATAGCATTTTTTACTCATTTAAATATCAATTTGCAACCCCGGTGTGTGTTGTATACATGTTTTAATTTCACTTTTGATGAGGTTTCTAAAAGTACATGTCAATGAGGCCTTATGAAGTACTGAATGAGCATGTAAAATATTTTTTTAACCCATTTCTAGCCTAGCTAGACAAGGTCCGTGAGATTATTCACCTTCAAAAAGTTTAAAACAAGTAAGGGTCTTTCAATAGGGTCTTGTTTTAAAAGACCGAGGCAGTCCAGTAGATGTTCAGGGGATGCCTGGGCCAAAGAGCACTTGGTGCAGAGGGCAAAGCACTTTTCTCCTCCAGAGTATATATTCCGGTTTTCATTTTTAAGTGTTATTTTCATCATCCCCTGATTTCAGTTACATAAATGGGACCAGAAATATAACATCTCCATAGCGACCATGTGATCGTTGGTATCCACCAATGAAAACCGACATTCTCTTGATTTCGGTCATTCACTGTAGTTTTGCTTTTCTTCTTACCCTCTCTTCTTGTAAATATTCTGCCTACTTACTTCTTTAATATTTTATGATTATTCATTTCTATTTATTCACAAGAAAATGTATTTAACAAGAGCCCAGGAACATGTCACACCCCCAATACTTAACTATTATTAAAATATAAAATAATTTTTTTGTGTCAGTAATTCACTGTATCTTAATAAGATATTTTTGAATACAAAATTTCATAACTTGGTCATGCTTAGTTTAACTTTTTCTGTTAAGGTGTAAATGTAACTTTTTGTTGCAGGTGTAAC